GAAACACTTTGTTTGTCACCACTGGGAAGATGCTACAGGTATCTAGTTGGGTAGAGGCCAAGGATGATGCTAAGTATCCTACGGTGCATAGGAGAGCACCGCACACTGAAGAATCATTCAGTCCAGAATGTCAATATGGCCAAGGTTGCAAACACTTGTTTATACTATGTTGTTTCTAAAAGTTATAGACTCATGTGTTATATACACACACACACCTTCTAATTCTCTTTTTATGGTTTATTTTAGCTGGTTTCCCTGTCAAAATTCTAGAAAGTTGGCCACTTCATTGTTGCATGTATTCAATTAATGCAAGTTTTAGATATTAACTTTTGTTTTTCCCATATGCAAGGTTTTTCAATCCTTCAGGAGTTCTTGGTCATCGTTATTTCTGCTAATTTTCAACAACTTGCCTTTATATTGTTATGGCATAATGGTGGTCGCTTTCAATTATACTGAAAGTATACTTTCACAAATACTTTCAGCATAATTCCTCAAATGTCTACAGTAATTCTTCACTCTGTATTTTAGTTATGTGAGCTGCTTCTATTTATTTTAATCTTTTTAAACTACAAAGTAATTCTTTACCTTTTCTTAACACTTTTACAGTTCGTAGTTTAAACTTAAAGACAAAAAAAACAAACAAACCAACTCCAAGATTGCACGGGCACATACATGACAGCTTAAACATCGTACACAAACCTGATCCTAAATTTCATCAGGTCAACTTGCAAAAGGAGTTTTGTCACCAAACTTATTAAAACAATTTTCTTCCCTTTTTTCTGAGACCTTTAAAATTTTAAATCTAGTTCAGGGATATGGGACTATATTGGATCATGCTTTTCTTTCTTTATTTATCATATTTTATTTTTTTATCATGATTTTAATCTGCTTAGCATGATAGTTTTTCATTTCCTATTACAATTAGTATAAATCCAAGATCTTAACATCACCTACAAGGCTTTTAACTGCTTGGCTTAAGGTGATTTCTCCCATTGAATCTTTTTCAGCTCCTTCCCCTTCACTCTCTGTGCTTCAATTGGACACTTTTCTTTTGGTTTCTTAGTTCATCAATTCTTTTAAACTTTCACACATTATTAACTTTCCCTGACATGTGCCTCCCGCTTAGCCCAGCCTCATATACACTGCCCACTCTTCCCCTAGCTCCTTAATATCAACGGAAAGTTTCATGTCATCTATCATAGTGCAACTGTAGCAGGAGTCCCATAAGCGGGTGACTTTAACCATCAGGAATTTATTTCCCACAGTTAGGCCCTTACATGTCTGAGTTGAGAATGTGGGCTCTAGGGGAGGCCATTTCCCCCGGGAGCTCTGGAGGAAAAGCCCTATCTCTTTTCACATTTCTTCCTTTGAGACCTTCATGTGACTTGGCATCTGTCTTCCCCCTTTTGTGCTTGCTTATTTCCAGGCTTGCTCAATCTACTACTTTTTTTTTTATCTCAAAAGAGATTGATTTACCATATACCTTATACCAACACTGGGCCATTTATATATCCATTCACAAGTGGAATTATAAACATAATTATATGTCACAGTAAACCAGCATCTAACAACTGAGGGGTCCGTAGGTTGTTATAATATATAATAACGGTTATAATATATAAAGATCATAGTAAAGGTCATAGAGAATAGGAAAGATAGGAGCAAGAATAAAATAAAGGAGTCAGACACATTTCATGGTAACATGCTCTCCTCCAGGACGGCCATGATCTCAGCAGCCAGGTCCACGCAGAGAGAGAGAGAGAGAGAGAGAGAGAGAGAGAGAGAGAGAGAGAGAGAGAGAGAGAGAATCTTTACTGTCTTGGGATATTTATAGGTAGCCATAAGACATGCATATTCAGTAGTTACATCCATCACAAGGTGGGTGGTAACCACAGTAAAATCCCTGAGTTCAAAGATGAGGAAATCTAAGGCATGAAGGGGGATGAGTGCTGAGGCGGGAGGAGATGACCAAAGAATGTCTGCTTTTACAGGGAGACAGAATCAACCAGGTGCTCACTTTAAGGCAGCATAACTGTTAGGGGAGAATCCGTGGGAATGATATTTAAAGCAGGATAATGTACTTGGACTTCATCTCTAACTTACCAAAGTGGTGGCTTTCCTACTGTGGAATACTAGCTTTCCAGATTCCCTCTGTTATAAGTTAGGGAATATAGTCCTTGTCATATTTCCCTCCATGTTAGTTTCCCAGTTATACTCAAACTCACTACCATAGAGTCGATTCTGACTCAGAGCAACCATATATAGGATATCTGAGACCATAAATCTTTATAGGATCAGAGGGCTGCTGGTTGGTTTGAATTGCCAATCTTGCAGTTAGCAGTCCAGCGTGCTTGTCCTACCATGCCAACAGAGCCCTTAAACATGTGTAGAGGGATTCAAATGTCTGATGCTTTTTGGGGGTGCATGGACATAATTCAATCCATGGCATCCTCTTAAATGCCACTTCTCAGTGAATCCTTCAGCCTAAGGCTGGGTTTTCTAGAGAATCAAAAACAGTAACTCTCATATCATATTATATAGAGAGATTCGTATTAAAAAATGGCTCACACCATTGTAGAAGTACCTAAGTCCAGTCTGGTTCAAGTTGATGGGTCAGATGCAAGCTAAAGACTTTTCCTGACTCCTGTAACTGCAGGGGCTGATCAACAGGAAGCAGGAAGGTGAGCTGAACAAATCCAAGATCAGCAGTCTGCTGATGGCTCCTGGGATTGGCAGGCAATAGAACAGGTCGATGATCCAAATCCAGTAGTAGAAGTCAGCTGGTTTCCACACACTGTCAATTTATACTGAATAGGTCACACCCTAAAATAAATCTTCCTCAATCATATCAAAGCTGGGACCAGATTGTTGTTGGGTGCCCTCAAGTCAGTTCCAACTGATACCCACCTTATGTACAACACAATTAAATACTGCCAGTTAAAGTAAATACTGCACCACCTTCACAATTGTTCTTATGCCTGTTGTTGTAGCCACTGTGTCAATCTACCTTGTCAAGGGTCTTCTTCTTTTTCACTGCCTCTCTACTTTACCAACCATGCTGTCTTTTCCAAGGGACTAGTCTCTCCTGATAACTTGTCCAAAGTACATGAGATGAAATCACACCATCCTTGGTTCTAAGGAACATTCTGGTTGTACTTCTACCAAGACCAATTGGTTTGTTCTTTTGGAAGCCCAGGACACTATCAGTATGCTTCACCAGCACTATAATTGAAATGCATTGATTCTTCAATCTTTGTTACTCAATGTGATAGTTAGATTTACTATGCCAACCTGGCCAATAAAAACAGGTGGGCAGAGATTAATCAGGCTAACATTTGATTGGAGAGCAAAGAGATAAATAGCTCTGCAAGGCCTAGCCCCCACCCTCTCTTGCTCTCTGTTTATTGGACCAGTGTGCTGTTCCTTTAACTACTTCACTGCCTCAACCTGTGTGCTACACTACCTGTGGGCCAAGCCAACCTGTGGATCATTGCTAGAGCTTGAGGCTCCTTCAAGACCTACTTTGCCACCTGCTGGTGTGTACATCCCTTGAGCTTGAGGCTGGTGCCTTGCATTGCTTAAGCTCGATATCCCATCTAGGCCCGCTTTGCTAAGCTTCCATGCTACTGACTGTTGCTGACTTACTCTGCTGTCTATGGCCTGCGGGCAGACTCTGTCTGTTTTGCCAGAGGGAAGACTCCTCTGTCTGCTTCTTTGACCTTGGACTGAAGGCCCTTCTGTGAGTTGAAGGACTTTCAGTATATTAACTGTTCCACAAAAGTGAATTGAACTGAGCCCTCTGTACTGCTGTGTAGACTAATTAGTTGTTATTTTCTTTCTTGCTGTATAAATCTATCTATCT